GAAGGCATAAAGCATTTGCTGAGAAAAGCTCCTCATTAACACACTCAAGTGCTCACATGTGCGCAGGCACGCAACAGAGCCCCTCTCCTGATGCAAGTGACCCCTCTCCAGAACCCTGGCTGGCCACTCACCCGGAGTGCACAGCAGGAGAGACAACAAAACAGCCGGAAGGGATGATGCCCCCAGCCCCCCATCCAGCAGCCAGCCCTCCGCGCTCCCCCCCCCCGCAGGGCCAACTCAGGCCTATGCGGCAGTGAGGACCCGAGGACCAAGGACTGGTGCTGAGGGCTGCGAGAGCCTCGGGGCTGGTGACAGCAAAGCAGACACTGTGCCTACTGGTGAATCCTTGTATTCCTGCAAACCAAAAGGTCTGATTTTAAAAAAGGCCACCGGAGCTTGCCCTGTCCCTGTCCATGCGGTAACCAGGGCCGCCTAGTCCATCCCAGACTATGGGTCTCCCCGGATCTGGATTTGGGCGCAGGTAGAATGCTCACTGCTGTTGGCTCCAGGCTGTCGTGTCCCAGTCTGGGGAAGGACTAGGGTCCCATTCACAGGAGAGGCCAGATGGGCTGCAGGTCACGGAACGGCCAGTTTTGACAAGCACACTCAAGACTAAGAAACCAAAACAGCAGACTGGGGTCAAACACTGCTGGTCACAGTTACGTGCAGATGCGGGGCCACCTCAGGGAGGAAGGGGCTCAGCCCCACCCCCTTTCCCATGTGACCCAGCACTGCACTTCCAGCTGAGCTGGGAGCAAGCCAAGCAGCACCCACCATGGCCACTTGCCTCCAGTCCCTTGGCCCAAATCCAAATCCACCACTTTGTTGAGAGGTTGCCCCAGGCTCCGAAGGCCTGGAGTCACAGCACTCGGCCACCGCGAATGGGCCAGAGAACACAGCATGGCAGCACCTCAGACTGAAGCCAGGTTTGAGGAGGGGACTACTTGGGAGAAGGTTCGGGCTCCACACCCCCTTCCCCAGCTGTTGGAGCATTACTGAGGGCAGGTGCGCCCCCAGCCACATGGAAATGGCCCCCAAGGTCTGACCAGAAAGGCTGGGAAGGCCTGTGCTCCTAAGGGAAGGCTGCAAGGGAAGCCAATATAGGGGACCCCGCAGAGGGAGCACTCCTGTCTGGAGTGGGGAGCACCGAGCCCCGTTACCCTCCTGAGCCAAGTGGGCTGCTGGCTGCACAGACCCTCACACGTCTAAGGACTCACCCCCTCCAGAGCACAACCGAGCCTTGCAAATCTATGGGATACACAAACATTTAAACTTCATCCAAAAGGTGAGTCAAACTGATAACCTACCCCACGTAAACTCTGAGCAAGGGAAAAGGAGGAAAAATGACGAAAAGCCCAAACTCCAGGTTTGGTTTTATTTCAGATTTTCTTCTTGGCTGGTTCTCCTCTCCGGCAAAGTGCCTTTACCCGCTTGGGCTGCAGTGCTCGGACGGACAGAGCTGCGCCAGTCCCCACATTTTGGTCCGAGAAGAAAACAGGAAGACAAGGCAACGGGGCCCCGAGAGGGCAGCACAAGCGGGGAGCTGGGGGGTGGATGTGCAGAGAACGTGAGCACCCAACCAGAAAGGCTGACGCCCACCCTGCATGGCGGGCAGCCTGGCGCCGACCTCCCAGAGTCAGAGGGAGGTGACACTGGCCTGTCCTTGGACCACTGGCCAAGCAGGAGCAAACCCACAAGAGCCACATCTCAACCTGGAGAACACACGGACACTTCCTGCTGGGACAGCTTCCCACGGCCGGCTGGCATTAGGCCACTTGTACAGGTGGGAGCCCACCAGCCTCCACCCAACACTCAGCCGAGCTCCCACCTTTTGTTTCTGAGGAGCAGGGTGTGGAGGCGCTTTGGGCCACCTGAGCAGCTGTCGTCACTGGCCAAGAAAGGGGCCGGAGCCAGAGTGCTGCAGGGGCTCCAAGTGCTGGCGGTCCTCCCACTGTGGCGGTGCAGCCCAGGAGCCCGCAGCTCCCGGTGACAAGGACCTCCCTCCAATCAAAAGGCCCTTCATGAGTCAATTAAGCAAGTAATCAAAATATGCAGAGTATATGTATCATGAACCCAGCTTTCCTGTATCAGAATGATTATCTGGTTTCACCTCTTAAACCTGGATCTACAACCCCCTGTAGAAAAATTAACCAAACACGGATAAGACACAGGCAACAAGAAACAGAAATATTTTGCTGTCTCGATGAGTCCAAGTGCACACTGAGGAGCAGGGAGCTCTGTCACCTTGCAGAACAGGCTGCTGCTTCCCGAGAAACTTGCCCCCTCCCCACCCCTCAACTCTGCAGCCGGTGCACTGCCTTCTACTGTAGCGACATCGCAGAGCCCACCCCTTTGGTGGCGCGCAAAACCGCAGTGATCTGTGTTGTGACGGGGCCTCGAGGCTGGCTGCTGCCGTCCCAGCGCCCGTGACACTGGGGCTGCAGTCCCAATTTCTGGGCTTGCGGGGCCATTTCTCTATGCCTGGCTGTGTTCCGGTTCTGCACCCACACCAAAGCCCTGGGTACCTGCAATGTCCCTTTAAGCACCAGCTTGATGACCTGCTGTCTCTGACCGTCACATTCGATCTATTCTCTCAAGCCTGATGCCCATCCCCACTTATTTGCTCCAGTCCAAGGGCACAGGGAGGAAGAGGGTTTGTCCACCCGCTGGCCCTTTGCCTGGGCAGTCTTGTCACTCGCTGCATGGCCCTGGCTGGTGGGCAGGGCTAACAATGTGAGAAAAACCTGCCAACTTTTCCACCTTCTAAAGCCGAGTTGGTGCCAAGGTTGGGTCACTCTCTCTGTCCTGCAGAAGCGTGCCCACCATGTAATTTATGTTTTCTGTATTGCTGTTTGGGTTGTATATAAAAGGTGCATACAAATAACCAAGACAGCCATCTCTAAAGACACACCCCTTCGGCCAGAGCATGCAGGGCGACGCGGTGACGTCACAGGGTGCGTCTCAGACACTGGAGATGGCTTCTCGCTGGGCCACCCAGTGCACCCATAGGACCGACCAGCACTCCCTCAACGCAGGCTACTTTCCCCAACACCCACGTGCCACTGAGCTCCTCGAGTGCACACGTCAGATGTCCATTTCACGAGCAAAGTATCAATTGAGTATTGTACTGTATATGTGTATATATAAATTAATCTGCATGTACATAAACCCTAAAGAAAAAATTCCAGGTGTCTTTCTGAAGGAAGGCATTAACTTGACATTCTTGGCAATTCTGCAAAGAGGCCTTTGGGGCTAAATAGCTTCACACCCCCAAATGGAAAAGATACAAAAACAGGGGCAAAAGTTGCAAAGAACTCACAAGTCACCTGTTTGAAATACAAAAGAGGTGGTCCCCAATGGGACAGAGAGGGCAGGAGGAGACCCTTCTGAGGAGCACCAGTCTAGGGCTTTTGATTTGCGCAACGAGCCCTCTCCTGGCGGTGGGGAGGCGCTGCCACCAGCATCTGCGTCCTCGGAGGAAGGCCAGTAAAGGGCCCTGCACAGTCCACTTCCCCTGGCGGGTGGGGGAAGGGCCGCGCCTGATCCAGCACCAGTATCTCTTGCCTAAAGCTCTGCCCTCTCTCTGGGGTCTCCTTCTGCTGCCCACCAGCCTGGGCTGGGAGGGGCGTGCCCGCAAGGCCCCGGTGCCTTGGGAAGCAGCAGGCGGCGTCCAGGTGAGCAGCACTGCAGCGGAGCCTTGGTTCTGCCTGCCTCACGGCCTCACTGCTGCTCTCAAAGCAGCCAGTTCTGGGGAAACGGAGTTACCATCCAGTTTAGCTTTGTAAGCAAGTTTCCCGATGTTTCAAAGGCACCTTTTCCTGTGATTTTTCTCAGTTAAAAAAATGGATACGAGGGTTAGGCTAAGGTAGACAGACATCTTGTTTCCAAGTTTGCAGCTATAAATATAGACCTTTGAAACTAAACATCCTCACAAAGAGCTGTCCAGTTATGCCCAGCAACCCTGGGGTGAGTGCCCAGCACACCAGCCAGGCCCTTGGTGCGGGGGCCAGGGATACTCTGGGTGTTCTGCCAGGAACCCCCACTTGCAGGTCTTTGTGTGGATAATTCCAGAAACTCACGAACCCCATCAGTTCTCACTCTCGCTACTGGGCAGGGGTGGGTCTTCCTCCCCAAACCGCAGGTGGCCTCGCAGGGGGTCAGGGCGAAGGTCTCCGACACCCTGTCTCTGACGCCCCCATCTGCTGGCTGTGGTCCTGCATCTTCACCGTGTCCCCACCCTAGTTCTGTTTTCAATTTTCCTCTCACTCTAAACAAGTCTAGTTTTTTTTTTAAATGTGGGCACATAGGTCAGAACATGAGGCTTAACAGCAAACGTTTCTTAGTTGATCTGATAACTGAAAAGCAATGGTCCATGATTCGGATTTCCATGAAAAAAGCAGAGTTACTGAAACACGAGAGGGGTAAGCATCAAACGCCAATCACATAACCAGTCCACCTTTAAACGCGGTAGCAGCAGGTTCCGCACTGATTGTCCCATCAGGCAAGGCCAGCCCGGCAGGACATTTTACTGGTCACCACTTAATGGAGCAGAGAGCTCCTCAAAAGTACTGCCTTCCCTGGGGAAGAGAAAGGGGGCACAGGGCTCTGGGTGTGGTCTGAGCGTGCTGAGGACCCCGGCCTGACCCTGGAAGGTGAGGCACTGTGGCCCCAGGAGTGTCCGGAGAGCAGACACAAGGCATTTTTAGAGATGATGTACAAGAGGATGCACTGTTTGCTAACCAAGATTTCTATGTAATGAAAGTGTTTACAATCCAACATTTCATTAAATGTGTATAGGCGGACTTACATGTTAAAAACGTGATTCTGTATCTATGAATATGAAATCCGAACTACTTTATCCACTGGAAGGCAAAGGAAAGGTCCTACACTGTGGAGGAAAAACTGATGAGAACTCTGCTCTCCCTTCTTGCTCGGTGGTGGCCGCAGGTGACAGGGTGGGTCTGGGCCGTCTGCAAGGCTCCCGGAAACTCTGTGCGCACCCAGAGGCCGGGGTTGGAACCGCTGTGGCAGCAGAGGTGGGTTGGGCCCTTCCGTGTGGCAGGTGGCATCCCAGACTGGCCAGTCCTTCACAGTGATCGGTTCAAGTTCAGTCTGTTTCTGAGGAGAAAGCACAGGCCTGTCACCTTCATGTCAGCTGCCACCAGTGTAGCCCCCAGGACAGCATCACTGGCTTCTGGGACCTCTTAATTCCATGGGCAATGGCTTCCTGCCAGCCACCTCCCAACTCCACAGCCTGAGGGAAGGTGAAGAAGGCCTGTGAGTTAAGGGTTCAATGCCGGCTAAAGCTGGCACGGGACCAGCGCCAAGGCCCAGGCCTCGCAGCTGTGCGGGAGCGTGTCTTCTCTGGGCCCCCTGCCTTGCCCCCTCGGCTCAGCTCCCAGGCCGCCGCCACCTCTGGAGTCCTGTCCGAACCCGCCCCGTCCTGCCCTCTCTCCTGCCGGTTCTCCAGAACACACAGTTCTAAAATAACAGCAGCTGGGGCTACTTCCTGATGTGTGTCCTACTGACGTCTTCACTTCGTTTCTAAGTCCCCACCCCGAAGTCGAAGGCAGTGGGGCTGCTCACAGACGGGATCTTGCGCGGAGGCTGCTGACGAGGCCGTGGGCACTCAGGTGCAAGCACAGAGACAGGCCCTGCCCGCACCCTGTGACCCGTGTGGGGAAAGGAGGACGCGGCCACGGGGCCGGGCCGCCCCTGCGTTCCTGCCCAGTCCCGCCCAGGACACAGCTCTTCACTCTCTGGTGGACTGAGCACCTCAGGGGAGCAAATACTTGCGATTCACACCCACTCACCCCAATTCCGGGTTAGCTTTCTTTAAAACTGTGGCACAGTATACAGAACATAAATCCTACCATTTGTGAGTGTACATTAAATGGCATTAAGTACATTTAATTTACAATGTTGTGTAACTACCACCCTATTTCCAGCTGCCCAAGAATATAATTTAGTCAAGTTTTAACTTAAAAAGTAAAAAAAAAAAACCTCAAAAACCAAAACTAGTTTGTTCTATTCCCAGCAACCTACGCTGCTTTGCTGGCAAAGCCGAAGCCCAGGTGGACGTCCCCAGGCAGCAGGCCCAGTGCGATGGCCACACCTGCCCCCGGTGCCCAGGACGCTCCCTGGGAGGCCCTCACTCACTCACAGGGGCCTGGAGGAAACCAAGGTCAAGCCTGGAAATACCGGGTCCAGGAACCAACTCCTCAAGGCCCACAGACCAGAGCCTCTGGGAGCCCAGACACTTGCTCGGTTTGCAGAGGCTCCTGGCTGACCTGGGAGGGGCCTCTAACCAGGGGGCAGCACCAGTCCGGGAACTCAGGGCCCGAGACCCTGGAAACTCCACACCCGATCATGTGACTTGTTCTGGCTTCAAGAAAACCATCTTTAACAAAATAATCATGTCGAGTGTGTTCTGTCAAGTACTAATACTATGTATGACCCAGCTTTTACTCCTTAGACATCTAAGAGGGAAGAGGATTTTGCATCATTTCTTCATTAGGGAGAACAAATGAAATGCAAATTATAGGATTTTCACCATTAAAAATCCTCTTCACATATCTGAGGACAAGTAAAGACTCTCTTTCCTTTTTGTTCACCAGTCTGAGTTGAATTTCCTCCAAAGTCCTATCGCTCTCTCCTGCCCAGTGTGTGTGGCTCTGCCTGGCTCAGGAGACATTCTCGTCTGTTCTCCTGTTGCCGAGAAATGGCCAGAGAAGTTTGGGGCTTGAAGCCTCACTGTGCTCCTTCTCCTGCACAAGATTTTTTTTTTTTTTTAAAGGACATGAAATGAACAACTCTCAACCCGTTATCATGTTGTTCTCTGATGACGTCTTCTGCCAGTTGCCCCAAAGCTGCTGGGCAGCCTTCGAAACAGCAGATGCTCCCATGCAGGAAGCACAGTGCCCACCCACCCACAGGGGCCCCTCCCCATCCCCACAGAGGACCACCATGGCTTCTGCAGGCTGCTTACCCAGCTGATGTCCAGCCTGGGGACTTGGTGTGCCACAGGGCTCTGAGCCGGCCTCAGGGGCACTGGGCCCCCACGGCCCACTGCCCTCGGACACCTCCGAACAGGTTTCCCCTGGACCTCTGTGAGCAGCTGCGGGGTCGCCGGTGCCCTGGTCCTCACTGCCTGTGTCTGCCACGGCCCGTGTCTCCTCACCCATTTTCTCAGCAAACCACTGCTTGACCTGCTGGGGGCTCATCTGGGTCTTGTCACAGAGGCTCTGCAGGTCCTCCTCATGGAGCACCTTGCGTGTCACGTAATAGTCTTGCAGCAGCTCCCGGTTGCCAGGGGCGACGACCAGCAGCCCTGGTGGGAAGTTGCCCCGCTTGTAGTCTTCGTACCACTTGAGCTGGCCGTTCTTCAGGGCGTACCTGCTGTCGCCAAACCAGCGCACTACCTCTGGCCGCGGCAGGCCGGTCTGGGCCATGATGGTGTCGTAGTCCTGGGTGCTCGGCCACTGCGTCTGCACGAAGAGCTGGCGCAGCAAGTGCCGCTGCTGCGCTGTCTTCTTGAGGCTCACCTTGCCCGGGGGCTGCGCGGCCAGCTTGTTCGGCCCCTCCTCCTCGGGCTCGCACGCGACCAGCCCCGGCAGCTCGCTCTTGCCATTGGCTTCGGTGACCCGCAGGTTTTTGAGGTTGATTTTGATGGGGCTGACCTTGCGTTCAGCCAAGGTGTGGCTGCCGGGCACTTCTGGGGAGCCATTCTCCCCAGGGACTCTCAGGTCACAGGGGGACTCCTCTGCTCCACCCCCGTCCTCGGCGACCTCCTCCTCCTCCTCCTGACAGGCACTCCCATCGGCCTTCGTGGTCTCCTCGGCGTTCACTTTTTTCCGTCTCTCAGAAAACCAGCTGTCAATCTCTCTTCGGGTCATTTTGGTTTCGGTCCTCAGGCGGTCCAGTTCCTCGTCGAGAGGAAGGGGGTTTTGTGCAAAACTATTCTCCAGGGCTCGGAGCTGCTCGGGGGCTCGCTCCTTGTATTTGGTTGGTGTAAAGTCAGGAGTCTGGTGCCAGGACTGTCGTTTGGCACAAGGGTGGGTGGCCAGGGTGGCTGCTGTCGGGAGGCAGGTCACCTCGGGCGTCTTGGACGCTGGGGAGAAGGGCACCTCTGGCACGGAGTCCATGAGAATGGAGCCGGGCTCTCCGGGCACCATGGGCCGGGAGCCCTTCAGGTTCCGGCAGTGGTATCTCCGGTCGCTGAACCACTTCCGCACCTCCCTGGTGCTGAGGCCGGTCACTTTGGTCAGGTGCTCAACTTCACTCTGTCCTGGGAACTGGTTTCGACAGAAGCTACCTTTCAGAGCTGACAGCTGCTCGTGAGATTTCTTATTTTTGTAGATGCTGGCATCGAGGAAGGCCTGGGAGGTTATGCTGGGGCAGGCAGTGAGCAGCGACTGGGCCGCGTTGACCACCTTCACCGCCGACGTCGTGTTCGAACACACGGTGTTGATGGGCGCCACGGCCGGCTGCTTGGCCACGGAAGTAACTGCCAGGGGGAGAGATGAGCTTGCTGCCTGCAGCCCATTGGCCATCAGTGGTTGAGTGACCAGAAGCCCCCCTGCTGTGCCCTCTGGCTGCCCCACGACATGGCCTGGGAGGGCAGCCTGGATGAGATGCTGGACGTTGCCAGCATTGGCAACCAGAGGAGTATTCAGAACGGTGATTGTGGGCTGAGGGACGGACTGAATGACCGTGTTAAACATCTTTTTCCGAGCGTCCTCGATCTCTTCGGGGGACCAGCTGATCCCCTGTTTCAGCCTCTGGGCCGTGAACCAGATCTTGAGCTGCTCCTCTGGATACTTGGTGACCACAGTCAAATAGCAGAGCTCAGCTTTGGTCGGGTAGGGGAACTTGTGGAAAGAGTTCTTCAGAAAGCTGTTGGAGTCCATGGCCGCATTGTACGTCGGAATGCTGCTCAGGGGGATCATCACTTTGGGGAGGGACTTGGCGGTGGGCATGGGCTGGTGGACGTGGTGCTGGCCGTGCGCCGGGGGCTGCTGCTGCAGGGACAGGAGCTGTGCTATACCCGCCGGCAGCACCGGCACTGTCCCTGGCAGGGGCCCGTTGGCCGTGTGGGGAGGCTTGGTGGAGCTGGTAGATGCCTGGGCAACCGGAATAGCCCCATTGACAAAGGAGTGGTCCCCCTCTTTCATGCCCATTTCCCCAGCTGGCGTGTTTGGTAAGGCCTCGCCAGCGGGCTGATTGGGGGCGTTTTCCTTGAGTGTGTGAATTTTTTTGGCTTCAGCTTTGCCTTTCATTATCTTCATGATTGGAGTTTTGGTGATGATGATTTCGGCTTGCCCATCGGTCCCATCGGCGCTGGGCTCGCCCGGCGGGTCAGGAGTGCTGGTGCTCTCGGGGACGCTCTGTTCCACGACAACATGATTGTCTGGCTTGGCCACACTCCACACAAAGCTGGCTTCCTCCAAGTGACACTTGGCGTTGTGCAGAGAAAGCCCCTCAGGGGTTTTCGCCAGAAAACTGCACTCAGTGCATACAAAACTGGGGTCTTTATTGAAGTCTGTGTGCTTGGAGTTCATGTGCCCCACAAAGTCAGTTATGTCCTGGGACTTGAAATCGCAGTACTTGCAAGAATATGAATAGCCGTCCAAAGTGCTCCGATGCCCGTTGGCCAGAGTGGCGCCATCAGCGCTGCTGGCAGTCTGGGCAACCTCACTGCTGGTGGCAGGCACTTCTGGGGGCAGGTCCTGCGGGGGGCCCTCGGGCAAAGCCGCAGCGGGCTGGGCCTCTGCACTGGTGTCCTGCAGCAGCACGGTCTTCACAGGGATCATGCACGGGGTGGTGGACTTCCTCTTGCTGGCCATGGCGACGATCACTCTGGGTGGTCACTTGGTGAGATATTGTCCCTCAAAGGCCTCACAGTCCACGTCCCAGCTGCTCCATGAGGGCCAAAGAAAGTTTCCAAGGGCAGCTTTTCCAACTGTTTGCAGAAAGCAGGTTTTCTGTATTGAACCTGAGGGAGACAAGCGTGATTACTATCTCTTAAGCTCTGTGTGTTCCTCAGATACCCAGCCCCCTCCACCACCTGACTTCAGGCACTGGGACCTTTTCACGGGGAGTTCAGCAGCAGCTCGGGCGTCAAGTTTGAGTCAGGAGCCCCCCAAACACTAACAAAACAGTGCCCTGAAGAACGACCTGGGATGTCCCAACACCGTTTGACAGACTTCAGCCATGTGTTTTTATTTCATATTTCCCTCTGCATCCTTGTGTTAAGTAACTCAAATTCAAAATAGAAAACACTAACAACAAAATAATCCTCCTTTGAAACACCAAATTAATTCTGACCACGTCCAGAGGAGAACCAAAGACCCCAGTGTGACTCTTGTTAAGTGTTCGGGCCAACCAGGGTTTTATTTTCACAGCCTTCCCACACAGGACAACACAAGGACGCCTCAGCCTCGGCCCGGCCCGGCCAGGCCAGGCCGGCGGGAGGGGCGGCGGGGGCACAAGCTGGCCGGAGGAGATGGGCCTCTCTCTGTGGCCCTTCCCTGTCTGCTGCCCGATCAAAACACACTCCAGGCCACAGAGGAGGGGCCCCCTCACAGTCGCTGGCTGTGCCCCAGACCCCTGTCACTCAGGTGAAGGCAAAGGCTACAGGGTCTTGGGACCCATGGACCCAGTTTGTGGTCCAGCCAGCTGTGTGTTCTCTCTCTGGGTTCAACAGTTCAAAGCGTGGTCTCACTTCGGTGAGCAAAATGCACGTGACCTTGTATCGTGCTTACTTTTTATTTCTTTCGATGTCTTCCTTAAAAATAAAAATCTTAAGTCTTTGATACATCTGAATTTTATTTCAAAAGCTGGAGTGATTGATTAAAATAATTATTATTATAATTCTTTCTTGAGATGCCTGAGAAAGTGTTACTGTGATCCCTATTATTAACACAATATCACCATAATCATTACCTTTCATTTAGCAAATTGCCATGCTTATAATGATTACAATAATAGTAATTCTAATACCAAAATCATGTTATCATCTCTGTTTGGATTTAATACAAAAATGTACAAAAAAATTAAACTATCTTTATTCAAATTCTTAGTGAATAAACAGCAAACTATTTTTCTGTTTATAAGTCTAATGCCAATGATCATGATAATAAAAATAATTACTATTAAAAAAAATAGGGTGAGAAAAGAATAAACATGGTCAGGATCTAACCACCTGCACCCCTTCCCCCACCAACTGGATGTGTCAGCACATTTTTTTTACTTAATCTTTAATTCTAAAGATAAAATATCAATATTAAATAAAACTTGAGAGAATAAAACCACCTATAATTTTGTATAGCCTTCCATCTAGTGCAAATATTTCATACATATTTTTAATCATGATGGACACACACTTGTATTTCTTTTCACTGAGCATGACATCATAACCATTTCTGTTGAATAAGCTTGATAATTGTAGCTTTCAATGGCTGCTTCCTAATGAATCACGATGGACTTAACTCACCCTCTGCTACTGAACAGGCCCCCAGCATCCCTCCCTCGCAGATGACAGGGAAATGACCTCTGGGTGTACGGCTTTCTCCTGTTAAACTATTTCTGGAGGCTAAGTTCACAAGAACGTATTTATCAGCTCAATGAGGACCAACATTTCTGAGTTCCTCTGCACACTACTGACAAATACTTTAAGTCAAGGGCTTTATAATTCCAAACCAGGAAAACTAAGAATAATGCAGGTGTGTTTCCAGTGAGCAAATCAGATTCCAGATAAATCACTGAAGACATAAAATAGAGTATCTGAAAGCACGAGTGACATCATAAAAAAAAGTATGAATTAGATTTAATTAAAACTAAAGGCGTTTGCATTCTAATAGGGTCACCATCAAGAAAGTGAAAAAGACAACCTGGAAAATCAGAGAAATGTTGCAAATCATGTATCTAATATGGGGCTTGTATCCAGAATAAAGAACTCTTACAAGTCAACACTAAAAATTTTTTTTAAAAATTAAAAATTAGATAAAGGATTTGAAAAGACATTTCTCCAAAGAATATATACGAATGACCAGTAAGTACGTAACAAAGTGCTCAACATCACTTAGTCACTAGGGAAATGTGGATAAAAACCACTGTGCCACCTCGCACCCAGGAGGAGGGCCGCCATCGAAAACATGAGCGGGTGAGGGCGAGAGGAATGGGACCTCGCCGTGGTGCTGGGGCTGGAATGCGGAACGGCCTCTGCACACCCCCGTTTCCCTCTGATGCACGAAGGTTTTAAGTTTGATGTAGTCCCATTTGTCTATTTTTTGCATTTGTTGTCAGATCCAAGAAATCATTGGCAAACCAGTGTCATAAAGCTTTTTCCACGTGGTTCTTCTTTCTTATGAGTTTTACAGTTTCAGGTCTCACTCAGGTAATTTTCAGCTCGTGTGCCGCAAGAGTCGGGGCACGGCACCTGACTATGCAGTCAGGGGCCTGACCTCTTTTCCTTTAGATGGTCAAATTAAAAAATGACAACGGCCGTCTGGTGTGAATCAAAATTATATGCATTTTTGTCAGATGGGCAAAAAATATATTTTTTAGTGTGCCACAGCATTTTAGTAATTAGTCTACGTATGTCATGAGATGAAAAAGGTTGAAGGTCGCTGGCTTAGGTCTTTGAGTTAAATTCTGCATACGGCATAAAGTAATGGCCCACCTTCACTCTTTCCCATGTGGATACGCAGTTTCCAGCACCGTTTACTGAAGAGACTGTTCCTTCTCTGTTGGGTGGCCGTGGCACCCTGGTCAGATCATTGACTGAACATGAAAGAGTTTATCTCTGGGCTCCATTCTGTTCCATTGGTCTGTACCTGTCTTTCTGCCTGTATCACACAGTTTTGATCACTGTACCTTTGTAATACAGGTTTGGCAAAAGGAGGTTTACAGCTGTGATTACAGAAAACAGTTTATTCTTGGATTGTTATTTATTAATTATTGTATTATTTTCCATATGAACAACTGTAAACCTACTTTGTCCCACCCTGTGTGTGTGTATATTTGATTGTTAGTTAGGGCCCTCTGAGATTCCATATGCATTTTAGAATTTTTTTTCTATTTCGGAAAAAAAACACACAAAAGTGTCAATGGAATTCTGATAGGGATTACACGTAATCTGTAGATTGCTTTGCATAGTATGGACATTTTAACAATATTAAGTCCTCCAATTAATGGACATGAGATATCTTTTACATGTTCTTTAATTTTTCAGTATTATGTTTTAGTTTTTTTATATAAGTCTTTTGACCCCTTTAAGTTTATTATTCAGTATTTTATTCTTTATGATGCTATTATAAATGAGATCATTTTCCTAATTTCCTTTTTTGATTTTCCACTGTTAATAAATAGAAAAAAAATGATTTTTACATGTTGATTTTGTGTCCTGCAGCTGTGTTAAATTATTTTTTCTTACATTTGTGTGTGTGTGTAATCTTCAGGGCTTTCTATATACATGATCAGTTCATCTGTGACCAGAAATAATTTTATTCTTTTTATTTCTTTTTTTTACTTTCTTTTTCTCTATTTATTTTGCAATTATATAAGCATATAAAGGTATTCCTTTTCAAACATTCCTAGAGATGAATGAAAGTTAAAGTGGTTGCTCACACATCAGTAGCAAAATACAAATTGACAATTCCAAATTATAAATAAAATTGTTTAGGATATTTAATTGACTCTCTGAATTTGAGGACTAAGCTTGGAAGAAACAAATTTGTAGGTTTTTACTTTAAACAAAAGTTGATATTTTTTTCTTTTTTTAAGTTTTACTTAAAAATATTTCCCTCTGGCAGGAGTTTGTGAATTCCTTGAACTATAATGGTTACAGGATCAAAAATTCTTAACTTACCATTCCACACCTCATGTTATATCTCCCCCTTGCTTGACATAGTATTTTGCTATTTTAAGTAGTAAAAGACCATTTATTTAGAAATTAAACTCTAATTGACCATTCGCAGTATTTAGTTTTCTTACACAGTGGTAATAAATGTTTGAATCCAAACAACTCTTATTCAAAATAGGCAGATAATCACCAAGTTATGTATGGAAGTCTGGTTACTCCATCCTTTTTTCAAATGTGTTAAAAAATAATCAAACTGCCTCTTAGACCCCTGAGTGTAATCCCAAAGAAGGCGACAATGCTTTTAACTGTTCTAAACAGAGGTAAATGGACAAATTACCAACATCATCTTAAAACAAAACAAAAAAAGACATAAACGTCTATGAAGTTTAAGGTAAAAGCAGTTTTGTAAACAGTAACTGCAGATGACAAGGTTATTGTAAAATCACAGTTTATCAACGTCCTTCAAACTGATCAGGAAGTCTGTCCGGGTTGGGAGCTGAAGAGAGTTCACAATAGTTACAGCAGGTTTCAGGCAGTTTCTAGTTTCGTGAAAATTTGTGTGTCAGTAGCTGGGTTTCTTCTATTCCTTCCAAACACTGTGGGTGTTGTTCATTTCCCACTCTGAGTCATTTTACTGGAGTCACAGTGGGAGAGGAGCCCTCGGCACGGGACCCTGGAGCGGGCTCAGCACACCCCTGAAGGAGTGCGAGTGAACCGGTGCAGGTTTCTGAAGCTCTGCCGTTCCTCATGTCCATTTAGACTGCAAGTCGTGTTGTCATGACTTTTGATGCATCAGCCCCTTCATCAAGCACTGGTCACACTGCATGAGTTAACTGGCTTTGCTGATTTGGGGAAGCCAATTCCCTCCCACTGGGGAGCAGGGTCCCACTTTGACAAAGCCCCCATTTGTCTTTCCCATGCGGTCAAGTATGGTAAACAATTTCAAAGCCTTGGATTTTCCCCCAGTCAACATTTTTGAGTGGCAAAGGGTAGTGGGAGGTAGTATCACATGCAATTTCTTCCATGAACCATTTGAAACTTTTGCAGTTGTGATCTTCTCAATTTTTTTTCAGCTGAGATATCCCCCCAAACTAATGCCTTTGATTCAGAATGACTACACAGAACAATCT